ATTTATTTTTTTGATTTTTTCTTTTATAAGAGGAAGCTCACCATACGTGGTTAAATTCAGGACCACTATAATAATGCACCGATCTTGTCGACAAAGTAAAATATGAGCCAAAATCGAGGGACTGTCCAAGCATTTTCATTTTAAATCCTATACTAAGTCTAGGAAGCACTCTAAAATCCTAAAGTTCAGGAGGAGCTTACAGCTGCATGTGAAAATGGTCGATCCCCCATTGTTGCTTCACTTTTTCCAAAGAAGTAGAGGGAGCTTCCCTCAGCAGACAAATCTAGAAGGAAGGCCCAACAATCTCTCTCTCTCTCTCTCTCTCTCTCCTGATTTTGGCCTGCTGATAATCTATATCAGAAGCTAGTGCAACACTATTTTCGTTCCCTAATTGATATGCCATTCTCAATCCGACAAACCTTCATTGAGTGTATTTCTTTCCTAACGAGAGCCATAACAACAATAATGTCACTCGCTCGCTCGCTCACTCAGCTCGAAGGAGGCTTAGGTTTGGTTTCCAAGAGCCTTGGAGTGGTCACACCATCGTCTGTACAGACGTAGAAACGCCGTGGTCTGCGATAGATAGGGAAGTGTCGTGGATCGCATTACTTCAATCCACTTTTTTAGGTCTTGACCTCTGAGTACGAACGGTGTGCTCATTTAATTCCTACTATCTTGTTTGTGTGTGTGTGTGAGCCTCTCGTTTTTTATTTTTTCTGTCACTGAACAAGGAAGGAGTTGGGCGGTTAAGGTCATTATTTGCTTTCGCAGTCTATTTATAGCATGGAATTGAATTCTGCGCCTCCCCCCACAATAAATAGAGTCCCCCTGTAACTTTAACAGATATAATTGAGTCTTCAAGGCGATGAAAGCGGGAAAAGTAGTTTTTATACGGTCTTGTCAAACATATGTTAGGAGAGATGTTTTAAATTTTGGAACACTGACTACGCTCTTCACAAGAATAGTCAATGTGAAGAATCTATGAAGATATGTATGGACTCATTACACTGATTAGTCAGTCACTTGAGAACTGTCTAAGGGAACTCGCTAATAAATTTTTCTTTTTCTTTTTTCTGTTTGGGGATTTGGTCACCGAAGGAGGGGTTTAATGTTGGAAAGAACCGTATCTATCTAAACAACGTGACAAGGAGTGTAAAAACAAAAGAGAGAATCTCACATTCTATGAGCAACTTCTATTTTGTCTACTTTTGGCTAGCAGTGTTCCCTCGCTACACAAGGAATTCCTTACGTTCAAAGGCAGATTGCAGAAGATGGAAAAAGAGGAAGAGCTAAAGAAACAAACACACACCCATTCCAACTTTGGTGGCAAAAAAGAGGGTAATTAATGAAAGCACTAATAATGTGCAGCATAATTAGCTATGCTATGCTAAAAGAGGAGAGAGAGAGAGAGAGAGAGAGAGAGAGAGAGAGAGAGAGAGAGAGAGAGAGAGAGAGAGAGAGAACTTACCCAGCCCCAGGAGGAAATGAGAAGGAGACGCACATCAAGTAGAACCACTCGGTCTCGGTCAAGTCCTCTGGCGAGAGGGCCGCACATGGGCGGCGTGCCGGCTGGTTCGTCTCGCCGGCGGAGAGCGACTCATAGAGCTCCCGGAGCTGCTGGCTCCGCTGGAGGGAGGCCTCCTCCGCGCTGACCTCCATCGGCTGGACGGTTTTTCGGGTCTTGATTGGCCCATTGTAGTACCCATCTCCCCATATCAATATCCTGATTAATTATACCCAATTACAATTAGAAACGCATAATACGAAGATGGTTTTTCAAGCGAATTCGCTGCTGAAGCTAATGAGAATTAGTTAACTCATCGGAGCATCGTTTTTTTTTCTTCTTTCTTCCATCAAATCAATAGCGAGGAAAGATAAGATCGGGACGGGGCAATAATTCGATCTTGATGAATGAAGTTAACGAAGGAGACGGAAAAAATAAGTGGTTTACCCTTGTTGTGGGCAGATTTGCCAGAAGAGACTGTAAGTCCACTTCACGGATTGCACGGCGGACTGCAACATGGACTGAAGCCGGCTGCTCGGCGGCGTCGCCATGTCGTTACGCCGACCGACACTCTTTCTGGCTCACTCGCTCGCTCTCTCTCTCTCTCTCTCTCACTCTCACTCTCTCTCTCTCTCTCTCTCTCTCTCTCTCTCTCTCTCTCTCTCTCTCTCTCTCTCTCTCTCTCTCTCTCTCTCTCTCTCTCTCTCTCTCTCTCTCTCTCTCTCTCTCTCTCTCTCTCTCTCTCTCTCTCCACACACTCAGCTTAGATGTGAAGGAAGTAATAAAAGGAGGGCAAGAAAAAGGCCAAAATCAGGGAGAGGAGAGAAGAAAAAAAATCAACTATTGGGGTTACAAAGACATGTAAATAGAAGAGGGAGGCAGAGAGAGGGAGGAGAGACAAACGTGGGAGATTGAATTCCAAGTAATCCGATCCTTTATCAAACTGACAAAAAGAAGAAGAAGAGAAGGTGGATAGATAGATAGCTCCAGAGAGAGAGGGAGAGATATTCTAAGAGGTTGAAGAGAAGGTAGACATGGCACCACAGAGAGAAGAGAGAGAGAGAGAGACCTGCAGGTGACGAAAGAGAGAAAAAAGTTAGATGATGACTTTGAGGAGGAGGAGGAGGAGAGAGAGTAGCCCAAGAAATTGCCAACTCCAATTCCAACTGCAACTTATTATCATCACCCCATGATGACGACGGCGATCAAGAATTTGAAGGGTCGTTAGCTCTGAAAGTTGAACGGTAAAAAAAAAACAAGAAAACCAAGAAAACCAAGAAATAGAGAGAGAGAGAGAGAGAGAGAGAGAGAGAGAGAGAGAGTAGTACTAGTTGTCGTGGTTTCACTTTGCTGCTGCCGCTAGGGTTTATTATTCCCGGATTCGAGCGTCGTTCGTGAGACGAGGCAAAGGCACTGGAGGTTTTGACTGGTTGGTTCACCGGACAGTTCCCATCTGTCAACCCCCACGGTCGCGCGTGGTCGCCCCCGTTAGTTGGGCCACGCGCCCGCGCGTGCGTCGCCTTGTCCGAGTGGAGAGAGAGGAGAGAGAAAGTCCTCCTTCCTTCCTTCCCTGTTCCTTCCTTCTCCAACGTCCGGTCTTCGCCACCTAATCTCTCTCTCTCCCCTCTTTCCTCTCTCTTCTGTGGCTTCTTTTACCTATATTTCCTCACCGGCTGATCAAGAAGGAAAACGATGTCTGGGGCACGTGACCCATGAACGGTGTCTGACCAAAGGGTGGCGAACCCCGCAACGTCCCTTCCCTCCGTCCCCCTCTTTGTTTTGGCGATGGATGGAGAGGAGGATGATGATTGCCCTCTTTGATTATTGTCGAGCTTAAATCGATTGGATTTCGGTGATGTTAATGTGCAACTTGTTTCCCCACAGCCCACGAGGGTTTTGTCAAAAGTACAACCGACTCTTTAACTCCTCCTCCCTTGTAGTCATGAGAGGGCCTCTCGAAAGCTTTTTTATGCGTATGCGTGCGCAGCTCATTGCCGCCCACGGTCGAGTATTATTGAGCCCATTATTTGTAGGTATTCCGATGCTAAGATTCGGCCTTTATCTAGTAATTTAAACTTTTGAAATAGCTAGTGGCGGTTTCGCAAAACTTTTGAGCCCTCCGGAATTTGAGGGGATGATTACCAAAAATAGAGTCGTAAACATATTGTGCGGACGTCAGTTCAGCCATAAGCTTTTCGGTTTGTCCAGTTGAGCCCTGAATCTTATGACGATTTGCCAATGTAGTTATCCGGCCAATTTTTATCGGAAATCGCCGATGCGGCTGTTCGATCAGCGCCGACTGCCATTTGAGTGCCTAAACCATGCAAAGCTAATTCTCCCTTCTTCTCTTCAAATTCCTATTCGGTATTATAGATTTTAGAATGGTAAGATAGCACCTTATCTTAGTAATATGTTCTGCACTTGCCTTCATAAGGATCTTGTACATTGCCATAAGGCCTTAAGTTCGGAATGAGGGTTTAGCGGATGCTAAAAGTCGGTCTCGACAAGGTAAGGCCTAAGAGAGGCAACGCAAGGGGACCGAATACCTGCATTTGCTAAGTTCTCATTCCAAACATAGTCCCTTTCATGGTATCAGAGCGGCGGTCGACACTGAAGTGATGATTTTTGCAATTTATTAAAAAATTTCTAATTTTTTTTCCTTTTATGCTGGTCATGATGCCCTCGTCAGATTTGGCGAGGGTCTCCCTCGCCGTATTTGGTAATGGACAACTTCGTGGGGCTATGGCTATATCTAGCGAGGGGGACCCTCGCTTGTGGTTGGCCATCGCTAAGGCCCGGTGACCAGCGGAGGAAGAAGAAAAAGAAAAAAAAAAAGAAAAAAACAAAGGAAAAGTTAATAAATTCAGAAAATTTTAAAAAATTACAAAAATCGTTCACGTCAGCAATTTCTGATCAAAATTGACCAGAATGACTACATTGGCAAATCGTTAAAATGTATATGACTCAATTGGCCAAATTAAAAAATTTAAAACTGAATTGGCATTCGTACAATAAATTGATAAATTTTTTGGTAATCATCCCAAAATATAAGCAGTAACGATTACTACTTGTGTGTCCAACCATACCCAATATTTACATGGATTTTTCATTGGACATCAACATGTGTGCACTTGTTTTTTTTTTTTTTCCTTTCCGGAATATGTATGTACGTGTCGGGTCCTCTAAATTTAGAGAAAACTTTCGATTTTCATTATATCGCGATAATTGACATAACTAGCTGAGGGCTTGGATTACGGCTACATCGCCTCATTTAGCTTGACTTTGACAAAAATGCGACCCCACAAGTCGGAAAAGGATCACACACACAAACTCACACCCTATCGAAATCCTAATCCCCAAACCCTCTCTCTCCTTTCTCCGGTCTACGCCTCCACCTCCACCTCCGTCGTGCCCAGCCTCGGCTGCGAACAATAGGGATGCTACGCTCTCTCTTTCCTACGCCACATACGAAGCATGAGCTCGACGGTCACCGGACATGGGAGGGAGGGAGGGAGGCCCTAGCGGCGGAGGGAGTGGTGATAACAGCGACTCGGCCACAGCACAAGGATGGCTAGCATGCAGGGACGACAACCACATGAGGGTGGAGGAGCCGATCGGGGATGCAGGTAGAGGAAGAAAAGAGAAGGGAAGAAAGAAAATTGTGAAAAACAATAAAAGAAAATAAAGAGTCAAAAAATGAGGAGAACATATTAGTTGTCAGAATTCAATAGTCCGATACGTCCTCAATATGGGTGAGCAACCGGGTCGGTTCAACTTGAGAATCGGACGAAAACGGTCTCACCCGCCTGGTTTTAGGTCGGTTTGCACAGGGATGGGTCCGGTGCCCGAGTAAAAAAAATTGGGAACCGACCTTGACCGGTTCGATTCCCAGTTGCATACATGAATCGGCCGGTTCTACCAGGAAACAGGTCTTGTAAGGCCGATTCTAGGGTCGAACCGATTTTGCATTGGTGAGTGAGGGAAATAATCAACGCAAATCTAAGTTGTCAACAAACATTCTTGCAAAAAGAAGAAGAGAGAAGCTATTAACCTATCAATATAAGACCTCTGGTGTTTGAATAAAAGAAATTATGTTTGTATATTAAAGTTGGGGTAAAAGCAACCAAAAACCCTAAATTATGTCCACTGTGACACATTTATCATGATACTTTTTTCCGTGACACAAAAAATCTCAAACTTGTACTTGTGTAACACATTTACTTTCCATCAAAGTTCTATCAATGTGACTTGTTAAAAATTTGGCTACATGGACACTAGAAAGCAAACGGTATTGATATGGCACCCACATGGCTTAAGAGAAATAAAAACGATGTTATTTTAGTTGAAAAATCAATTAACAGAATCTTAACGGAGGGTAAATGTGTCACATAGATACAAGTTTGGGGTTTTTATGTCACAAGAAAAAAGTTTAGGATAAATGTGTTATAACAAATATAGTTTGAGATTTTTTGTGGCTTTTTCCCTTGAAGTTGCAAATAACTTTGGTTTTGCACTGTGAGCGGTCATTCTATGCAGCAATCTGTATCTATGGAAGAGGAATTGTTTGCTTAGGTCTATACATTCAAGGAGTAAAGTGAACTTCTCCAACTTTGTTCCGTCAGAGTCTAAAGGTATAGGTCAATTAAAAATAAAAAGTTGTTGGCTAGTTCTCGAGTCTACCTTGGAACCGGCCTGGAACCAACTAGGTTGGCCGATACAAAAAATGGAGAATCAACTCTAACAAGGTAAGTTTAAGTTACTCGTCTGAAATCTATCCGCCCTAAAACTGATCACCCCTAATCCCCAATGACTATGTAATTAAGACATAAAATTTATCCTTCTAATTTTAGAGGATTCCAATCATTTACTCAAATACTTTATTAGTAGAAATATCGTCCAACAAAAGTATAGGGAGAAAGTTTGTGCCTTGTATGTGATACTAAGCGGGTGCATCAATAGACTCCACGATAGTGCATTTTTTTCAGGATTCAATAAATAAATAAAGCACTTTCTTTTTGTTTTACGGAGAATATTAATTTATCTTCAAAATTTATTAGCAGATTTATGTTATCATTTATACGATACGAAAATTTAAGTAGATTAAAAAAATGTTAAGAGTGCATCGGTAATAACATTTGAAATAAAAAAGTAAAATGTAAAGGTCAATTCAAACATAATATTGTATAATGAACTTTCTAATTATAAATGACCAATTTGACTCCTCATTGTGGGGAAAAGTACCCAAAAAGTCCTAAACTTATTGCATTTATGTCAATTGAGTCATAAACATTTCAATCATGCCAATTGAGTCCTAAATCTTTTAACAATTTGCCAACATAGTCTATCCGGCCAATTTTGACCGGAAATTCCTGACATGGACGCCAGCCGTTTTATGTAGTACGGCCGGTGCTGATGAGGATAATTTTTTATAAAGTTTTTCTAAATTTTTTTATTACTTTTTTGTTTTTTCTTTCCTTTCCTCTTTTTTTTTCCAGATCTCGCCGGCCACAGGCGAGGTTTGGGCGAGGGCCCCTCGCCTAGATCCAGGAGAGGGCCGGGAGCCTCTCCTGTTGGCTAACGAGGGCCGCGATGCCCTCACCTGGTTCGGGTGAGGGCCACAATACCCTAACCGACCTAGAGTTGTTAAAAAAAAACAAAGAATAAAATTAAAAATTTTAAAAAATGAAGGAAAAAATATTAAAAATTGTAAATTTTATGTGTGTCAGTGCTAGTCGTGCTACGTAGGACGGCGGCTAGCGTCAATGTCAGTGATTTTCGGCCAAAAATTAGATTATATTGATAAATTGTCAAAAAGCTTATGACTCAATTGGTACAATTAGACCATTGTGGGTTGCCCTAGTGGCCACCCTTCCCACTTGAGAAGGGGAAGGCGGAGAGTTCAATTCCCAACCTTCTCAAAGGGGCTGGGGGTGGGGATGCGTAAGTAAGGGAGCAGGGTTTCGAAACCTGCACAACATATAACATACACAGTGGCTTGTAAAATAGAAATATGATAGAACCAGACAAAACAAAAAATTAGTATAATTGAAAGATCTAGAACTGAATTGTCATGAGCACAATAAATTTAGGACTTTTTTGGGGGAAAATTACCAAAACAGTCCTAAACCTATTGCAATTGTGCCAATTTAGTCTTAAACCTTTTTTTTTTTTGCCAATTCAATCCTAAACCTTTTGTATTTGTGCCAATTCAGTCCATCCGGTCAATTTTGGCCGATCGGTACTGACGTGGCAATTTTTTTAATATATAAATATTTATTTTTTTCAATATTTTTTTTTTGCCCTTTCCTTCTTCCCCTGGCCTGTGGCCGGACCGACGAGGGGCTAGGGCCGGCAATGTCCTCACCGGCCATTGGTGAGGCTCGCCCTTACCGGCATTGGCGAGGGCTAGCCTTGCCGTTGCGGGTGAGGTGGAGCTCGCCATTGCTGGGTGAGCTAGACCTTGCCCAGATCTAAAGAGGTCAGCTGGGCGCTAAGCAAGCTCGACTTGGCCATGGCAAGGCTCGACCTCGCCAGATTTGGGCGAGGTCGAGCTCGCCTAGCGACAGTGAGGGCGAGCCTCACCAGTGGCCAGCGAGGTCCTCGCCGGCCTTAGCCCATAGTGGGTTCGGCCACCAGCCAAGGGGAAGAAGGAAAGGGGAAAAAAAACAAGAAAGGAAAAATAAATCAAAAAAATAAAGAAAAATATTTAAAAATTGTCACGCCAGATGGCTGACATCCGCATCAGCGCCGACAAGTCAAAATCGGCCGGATGGACTGAATTGGCACAAATGCAAAAGGTTTAGGACTGAATTTGCAAAAAAAAAGGTTTATGATTGAATTAGCATAATTGTAATATAATTAGGACTGTTTTAGTAATTTTCCCCTTTTTTGTTACTTTTCCCCCTCATTGTGCGCGACCCCTCGGGCTCACAACATGCGAGCACGGGATGGCTCATGCACCTCCCATATAGCGCTTGGTGCAAGATTGGGAAGGGGCTTTCACCAAAGCCCCTTCCCAAAAATTGAACCAAACGGTTAGCGTGAGCATTGAAAATGCTCAAAATTAGCATTTTCAATGCCGAAAGCCCACTGCGATCGGGACTAGCTTTGGACTTTCACCTTGAACCAAATGCCAAAATCATTTTTATACTTCCCAAACTACCCTCACTCAAATTTCAATATTCAGGCTTTGCCCTCTCATTCTTGTTCATCTTCTTCACCAAAGGGACTCCGAGGGCAAAGGGCGCAGCAATGACGGAGGCCGCGAGTCGCCGAAGCCGGCGCCGGGGGCGCGATCGCCCGGCGACGGCGCTAAGCGGCGGCCGCTGGGACTCGACGCTGCCGGCGAGCGTCGCCTGCTCCAGCCGCCGCGGGTCGCGCGGCGGCGCCGGCGGCGGGTGCGCGACGGCGCCGCCGCTGGGTCAGCATGGGACCGGCGCCGTCGGCTGGGAGTCACCGGGGCGCCTGTTCCCTGGGTCCGTCATTGGCCGTCGCCAGGTGCGCGCGGCCCCTCAGGCTCACAACATGCGAGCACAGGATGGCTCATGCACCTCCCATGTAGAACTCGTGAATCGGGTTTTCTCGCGTGCTGGGCGTCGGCGACGGCGGCGCTGCCGCGCCGGGGTCGCGTCGGCGGCCGTCGGCTGGTCAGCCCGTCGTCGTGGGGTGGACCGGGCCTCGTCGCCCAGGGTCGGCGTGCCCGAGGGGCCTTCGGCCACGGGCGACGGCCGCCGGCGCGGATTCGGCTACGCCCGGCCGTAGCCCTTCGCGGAGCCGTAAAGGGTATTTTGCCCCCTCAAAGCCTATTTGTAAAAAAATTAACCAAACACCACTTAGGTCAAAATAGCTTTGCAAATGAGTTTTTACCAAACGCCATTTGCATTTTTCCTAAAGGGCTTCCACAAAGGCATTTGCATTCCCAAAGTAGCATTTCAAATGCTGTGCCAAACGCACCCATAGAACTCGTGAATCGGGTTTTCTCCGGATCGGAAAAGAACAGTGGATATATTTACCAGCCTTAGTTTTTCTTTTTGGGTTGAGAGTTTTGAGATGAGCTGAAGAATCCAATAACAACAGAAGGTGGCACCCGACAAAACGATCCTTGTTGAGATTAGTTCTCTTTGCTTTTAATCTGCTTAGCAAATAGTCAAAAAATTGCCCACAGCGGAAAACACTAAATTAAGGCCTTTCTCGAGTGGTGCGAAAGCGTTCATTGGTCAACTCTATTAAACCGCAAGAAAACTTTCTGAATGAATAACTTTAAACGCCAAATTTAGAAGAAACCCATTTTTTCGGATCTTTGTGAAGTTCAAACCATGTTACGTGCACTTCTTATATGTCGTACATTAGTTTAAGTTATGGTCAAAGAATCGAATTGATAGAGAAACTAGGTTATATTTCGATTCGTGTATTACTGGTAAACCGTACGTGGATTTTGATGTGCTTTTTGTGTTTGGTGTTATTGTTTATCTATCCCATAGATTCTTTTAATCTTTCGGCATAGCATAGCTTACTAAAGTTTGTAGTGATTTTACTCTTCCGTTGACCTAGCAAATTGGTATAGAGTCGATGGCTTTAATGTACGGTTACTTATAGCCCGTTCGGGTTGTGGAAATGGAGTTAGGCTGTATGGTAATATTCAGTGCGTTGTAGTATGATAGAGTTATAGTAACTGTTATGATGATTGATAACTCTTAAACTGTTTGATCTCATGAGTAGCATACGTAATAAGGAGGAAATAAAATCACAATTCCAAAATACCACTAAAATCTGAATTATGTAGAATACAATATTTATCACTGTAATAGTCAATCATGAGTTAAATTCCTTATATATATATTATCAAATATTACACTTCATTATATCAAATGTTTATTCACTTCTGAAAACACTTGTTTATGATTATAATTTAAGGTTAAAAGCTTATCATGTGATTATCTTAAAGTAAATATTATATCGTAGGGGAAAATTATCCAAAAAATCTTAAACCTGCTATACAGCGGCCAATTCAGTCATAAACCTTTCAATTGTATTAATTTAGTCTTAAACCTTTTGACAACTTGCCAACTTAGTCTTAAACCTTTCAATTGTGCCAATTTAGTCCAAAATATTTTGATGATTTGCCAATTTAGTCTTAAACTTTTTAACGATTTGGCAATTTAGTCATTCCAATTTTACTCGAAAATTGCTAACGTGGCGATCTAATCAGCAATGGCCATCCTACGTGGCATGGCTAGGGCTAACGTGGACAAATTTCATAATTTTGTGAATTTTTTTTTCCTTTCCTTTTATGTTTCTTTATTCCTTTTTCCCTCCTTTGGCCTTAGGAGGGCGACCCTTGCCCAAGTGAGGGCTACCTAGAATCTAGCGAGCATGGCCCTCATTAGCCCAGGCCCAAGTGTCCCCCACTCAAGGATATCAAGGGCGGCCCTTGCATGAGGCTGGCAACCTCTGCTGGCCACCAACGAGGCCTAGTGATGGACGGCGGAGGGAAAAAGGGAAAAAAGGAAAAAGAAAAAAGAAAAAGAGAAAAAAGAAAAGAAGAGAAAAGGAAAAAATTACAAAAATTGTCCATGTCATAGTCAAGTGTGACACGTAAGACGACCGGCATTTACTAGACCGCCACGTCAATAATTTCCGATCAAAATTGGCTGGAAGGACTAAATTGGCAAATCGTTTAAAAGTTTATGAGTAAATTGCCAAATCATCGAAATTTTTAGGATTAAAGTTTATAACTAAATTGGCATAATTTAAAGGTTTAGAACTGAATTGGCCACCGTACAATAAGGGCGCGTATGAAATCATTTCTGTTTCTCTATTTTTCTGTTCCCAGGAACAGATTTGGAACAGAAATCCGTTTGGTAACGCAATTTCATTTTTCTATTTCTGGAACAAATTTCTATTCCACAAATAGGTTTGAAACAGAAATCAGAAGTAAAAAAAAAATTACTTTTCTATTTCTGGAACAGAAATGAGAAATAAAAACTCTTCTTATTGCTCGCCCTCGGTACTAGCCGGCTACCCCCTTGCCACTTGCTATTGTCGCCGGCCGCCTCCCGCCATTGCCGGCTGCCTCTTGCTGTGGACTGCCTCCCGCAGTCAACCGCCTCCCGCCGTTGGCCGCTTACCGCCGGCGTCCTTCGCCGATCGCCTCCTCCCACCGTCATCCTCCTTCGTTCGCCACCGCCCAACTTTGGTCGCAACCCGCCCACCGCCGCCTCCTGCCGTCCTTCGCTGCCACTTGCCGGCCGCCTCTGGCCCACCAGCCGCCTCTTGCCTCCGACCACTGTCCTCTGTCGCCCGATGCCTGCCGCCTCTTGTCGCCGACCATCGTCGTCCGCCGCACGACGCCGGCCACCACCCGCCATCGGCTGCCGTCCTCCGCCACCGGCTGTCATGCTCCACCGCCCAACGCCGGCCGCCTCTTGCCTCTGACCACAGTCCTCCACCGCCAGCCGCCTATTGCCGCCGACCACGGTCCTCCGTCGCCCGACGCAGGCCGCCACCGATCGCCGTGCTCCACCGCCCGACACCGGCCGTCCTCCAACCCCGGCAACCGCCACCGCTATCCGCCGGCCGACCGCTGTGCTCCACCGCCCGACGCCGGCCGCCCTCCGCCCACAGTAATTGCGCGGCTAGCCTGTTCTCCCCCGGCAATTGCGCCGCCGCCGTGCTCCACCGCCAACGCCCGGCCCGCCTCCCGCCGCCGCCCATCGTCATCCGCGTGCCCGCCAACCGCCGTCATCCATAGCCTGTGGCCGTGCCGCCTCCCACCGCCAACCATTGTCCTCCATAACTCGTTAACGGAATAGAAATAGAAAAATCTATTTCTGGTCAGAAATTGATTTCTAGAATAGAAATGTTACCATGCGTGCCCTAAGTTTAAGACTTTTTGGATAATTTTTCCTATATCATAGTAATTTGTCACTTTACGAGAAAATCATGACTGTAATATCCCATTTACTTATTAACCGTTATGGTTGCGATTTACAGTTAACCGTGTAGTATGTGATTATATCAGAATAAACTTGACATCATTACATAACTAACAGTATGATGAAATAATAATTGCGTATCAATTGGAGAATTAACAAATATAATTAGCAATTGAGATAATCATCTTATTATGTAATATTACGTTTAATTGAAAGTTTAGATAATCATACTTATTAATGAGCAACTGATGTTAATTATTGTAATTTGAATGTATTTCCGAGAATACATAATTGATTTTTTTGAAGATAACATAATCTATCGAATTAATTATTACCCACTATTAAGTATATAACCCATGATTCGTGATTAGCTATTATATTGATTATATAATATATGTTTATGTCAAAATAATTGCTGTGAGTGTCATTATCATTGTACAAATGACATAAATAAACGAGCTGTAATTAATATATATCTCTTTATAATTGGCCCAGTCCAATTCGATTCGGGCCAATATAATTTGCCTTTTGTTCGGGCTAGCCATTCTTGCAGAGAGACATGAGTCCGATATGGTCAAAGCCGGGCTTGAATTTTACCGGGAGCCCAGTTTTTCATTAACCAAAAAAAAACAGAAGAAAAAAACTAACAGGCATAGAGGGCGGAAACGCCTAAAGGATGTGTTGACTAATCCTAAGACATTGAGTTATAAGCTACGCTAAAGAGAGGAGGAACTCCGATCGGAAGCCCAACTTGATCGGCGTGTTTTCAATCCTATTGGCAAATTCGATGGACTCTCGAAAGTTGCAAAGGTATACCAAATCAAGTGATAGACGGAGCAGAGAGATCAGGTTCGCAAGCGAGAGTTGGGGGGGGGGGGGTTGGGTTATTATTAGGTGTGTGTGAGCTTGTTATTAGCACAAGAAACCCCTTATCTCATTAACGGGAAATTGAGTGCTTAATGTATCTACTTGTCTTATAACTTAGTGATTTAATAGAAACATAGGTCTAATAAGAGGCGTTGATAAGCTTGGATTCAATCTCCCTCTCAGGTTTCTCTCAGAGTAGGGTATAGCGCTTTTATTGCAAGTCCCATTACAGTGCTTGGACGAGTTTTGGTGCTTGCATAAGTTAAGGTTTCTGTTTGGGTCTGACTTATTTGATCTGTCATGTTAGACAATCATTTTGTTGAACGCTTCTTTGGCGGTTTTGTTGGTGAAGAAATAATGCTTCCGTGCAAAGTTGTTAAGCATACAGTTTTCTATGTTTTTAAGCTTGTGTTGTTCTTCCCTATACAAAATACTCATATTTAACAAGAATTACACTACAAATTCTAAACCTTGTGTTCGTAATATAATCAAGTCGTAATATATTAAGTTATTTGGTACTTCCGGTGCTCTTTTCCCCTCCTATATATGCACATGACTCCGATAATGGAAAAGATGTCTATTAAATTCACAGATCGATGGGGTTGGGTTATTATTAGGTGTGTGTGAGCTTGTTATTAGCACAAGAAACCCCTTATCTCATTAACGGGAAATTGAGTGCTTAATGTATCTACTTGTCTTATAACTTAGTGATTTAATAGAAACATAGGTCTAATAAGAGGCGTTGATAAGCTTGGATTCAATCTCCCTCTCAGGTTTCTCTCAGAGTAGGGTATAGCGCTTTTATTGCAAGTCCCATTACAGTGCTTGGACGAGTTTTGGTGAAGAAATGATGCTTTCGTGCAAAGTTGTTAAGCATACAGTTTTCTATGTTTTTAAGCTTCTGTTGTTCTTCCCTATACAAAATACTCATATTTAACAAGAATTACACTACAAATTCTAAACCTTGTGTTCGTAATATAATCAAGTCGTAATATATTAAGTTATTTGGTACTTCCGGTGCTCTTTTCCCCTCCTATATATGCACATGACTCCGATAATGGTAAAAGATGTCTATCAAATTCACAGATCGATGGTTTTCGTGTTCAATTAAATTTCCTGATGTGATAATGTCGCCTCTAATATACATTAAGGCTGGTTTTATTGGACAAATCCATAAGTCGACATATGTTGTTACATATAAGAATTTTTATGTTGTGATGTTAATAGAAAGAAGAGATGAATGTGTCTCAAAGTCAAAGGGTGTTTAAAGTTTTTGGAGTGGTGGGTGGTAGATATAAGCATAGATAAATCTTGGTGAGGTCCTATTGGTGGGCACTATGCAAAAGCCATGGTTAATTAAAGTCAAGAATGAAACAATATGACAGGCCAGGATAATTTTCAAGTGACTGGATATCGATTCACTACGTATTTAATTCACAAAATGACCACTTGCTACTCGATCTCAAAGCCCAAGTATAAGCCTGTGAAACCTTCTCGTATACAGCTTGGAATTGCGGGTGAGCACGGACTGGGCTTGTCGGGCCTGAAGGCTTTTTTGGTCTGGCGAGGTAGCAAGCCTCAGATCCGAGGTTGTTTGTGTTGGACCGTGCTTGTACCCGCCTGACGGCTTAGAGAGAGAGAGAGAGAGAGAGAGAGAGAGAGAGAGAGAGAGAGAGAGAGAGAGAGAGAGAGAGAGGGGCTGCGATGGGCCCCGGCAAGGCTGGCCAAGCTTGCAGTGGCCCATGCTGGTTGACGACGATGGCGACTTGGCGGCCATGGCACGATGGCAACAGTGGACAGTGTTGGCTCCTTGGCCAACAACACCGGTCGTGCTCGTGAGAAATGAAGGAGGGCAATTTGGGACAAATAGAGAAAGGGGAAAAAAAAAGAAAGAAAAGAAGAGGACAACAACGACAAAAATATAGGGAAAATCGATGCGGTTATGCAAATGTGGTTGTGTTGATATGTCGATCTCTTAGGAAGTAACTTTAATATGTAAAATTTGCCCATAAATTTAGAGGATCTGATGAGAATAATTTGAAGGTGAATTGTCGATTCAGGAAGAGAGTTGTCCATTCAAGATGTTTGATGGTATAACACTCACAACTCAAGAGAATGAGATGAAGGGGCTTTTACTTATTTTTATTTCACCTTTTCATAAACGATCAGAAGACTTGCCTTTAAATAGGCTTATTATATGACTGTTACTCTTCAATGACTCATAAATATATCAATTATTCCAAGAAAATAGAAACACGAACAGACTCTTGATAACAACAATATAATAAAGACTCTTCTTAATTTGCGCACCAGTCTTTGAAGCCGAAGAGACATCGACATCAATCTTATAAATCAACAACTAGCTAGGTAACCAATCGGCAACCTTGAAATCAACAACTTGTTTAGTGAATCGATAACCTCTTCGCATAATTGATCTAATGGATTTGGTTTAATTACTAATAGGATCTACGCGTGTTCGTACGTAGTTTTTCATAATTTTTTAACGGTTAAGTAATATTAGATTTTGCCAGGAATGTATTTTTGACTAATTTATAAGTTTGCAACAAACAAACCATTCATAACCCAAGTTCAAACATCCAATCACATCATGATTAACGGTGCACTCCTTAAAAATCTCACTCCCCTCAACTTTAACGAGGAACAATTCTTTAATCCGGTAGAGTCGCGAGACCCACAAGCACCACATGGAAAGCTCGTCGATAGCTCGTCAGCATGAAATTGAAAGCCAAATGAGATTGATGCCGTCTTCAGCCTAAAAAATCGCTTTTCCAACGCGTTTTCCATTCCTACCACCCCATCACTTGTCACTCATTCGATGTTTAGATATGTAATCGAACTTTTTTTTTATCCCTGTCATCGAATCATTTCCATATATACGCGTGTGTTATTTTTAAAGAAAAATTTTGCCCGCTTTTTCCAAGGCGGAGCTTCTCGTGCCCGAAGACTTGGATTGACCCCAACAGAAAAAAAAAAGAAAAAAAAACCCCGGTAGGCAAGCTCGAGCCTATCCAGGCTCGAAAATAATCGGTCCGGATCGAGCTTTTGGGTTCTCGATTTTTCTTTTCAGCACACCCCTCGCGGGAAAAGGTCTCTAAGCCAGATTTGTTTCTCAATCGGAAATTCTCTGGTCCTCCTCCTATTTTGCTCCAGGAGTGCATAGTGTCCGGGGCACTTGAGTCCAAGGAATGATCATCGATGGAGGGCCGACCAGTGCTTGTACATGTACGAAATCAATTTCAAAAAAAGTCGCACCTTTCCCCCTTTTCATATTCGGCAAGATACTATGTTATTTTTCCTCAGTGGATCACTATGATGAAAATTGAACACATTGGCAATTTTGTTTTGCCATGATAAGGCAGTCGAAGCACTGGTTTCAAAGCTGCAACTACCATGTTGTCTTGTGAAAAAAAAGGTAAGTGGCGGGAGCAACTTATCAAAGCTACTCACCGCTGATAAAGGTGCACGAGTAGACAGTGGTGTCGCCACTCATGACTTGTCCTCACTTCGCCTACTTTGATGGCTTGGTCACACAAGAATAGTCGCATGTGAAAAAGAAAAGGAAAAAGAAACAGAGTGGCTGCGCTTGTTTAAACCCTAGTTGAGTGCATCTTGTTGCATGGAGGGAATCGAGCTAAAATAGGAAGTTTCATGTTTTGGATGTATGAAATTTGTTAGAAAAGAAGTAGGTTCCTCTTGGCCTATATCATTTGGCTGAGTGTCGAGAAAAAAATATATGAGGAAGATTGAATTAGGTGATACGGATACAAATGAGGAGGATGACAATCTCATATACACATGAGTATTGTGTTTCTCTACGACAATTGTCCAAAAAGTTTTAAATATATTGTATGGCGGCCAATTCGGTTCTAAACTTTTCAATTTTGTCAATTTAGTTCTAAATTTTTTGACGATTTTCAATGTGGTCATTTCGGTCAATTTTGATTGGGAATCGTTGACGTGGACCTTAGAAGTATGGTCGGCATCGACAA